GACAGACGCCTCGCGCCTGTACGGGGTTGGTTACTCCCTTCTCCAGGATCACGGTGGAGGAAAGTACCGGCTCGTACAGTGTGGCTCTCGCTTCCTCATCGATGTTGAGTCTCTCTACGCTACCATGGAGCTGGAGCTGCTGGCAGTGGTATGGGCCTTATCGAAGTGCAAGTTTTACTTGATTGGCCTACAGCACTTCGACCTCATCACAGACCACAGGACCTTGGTCCCCATTCTTAACCACTATTCGCTGGACGCCATCGAGAAACCCCGCCTCCAGCGCCTGAAGGAGAAGATTTTGGCCTTCGATTTCACCGCGGCTTGATCAGCAGGTAAGGAGTTGTGCATCCCGGATGCCCTCTCCCGCTCCCCAGTCAGCCGCCCGACACCTGAAGACAAGATGCTCAGCACCGAGGCCGGTTTTTCCGTCAGCAACATCGTCACTTTGCAGGCCGTACAGTCCCTCGCCAGCACCCAGGCCTCAGTATCGCCACCCGACAGCGATCTGACCCTTGAGGAACTACAGACCGCGGCAAGCGACGACCGCTCCCACACTCAACTCTTGGAGAGTGTGAGGACTGGGCTCCCTCGCGAAAGTTTGGACCTCCACAACGCCCTACGTCCGTATTGGAAGATACGTGAGGACCTCTACGCAGATGGAGACCTCCTCCTGTAGAGTGCCCGTGTGGTCGTCCCTGCAGCTCTCCGTCGTCGCGTTCTGGCCCGCTTACACGACAGCCATCGTGGAGCAGAGGCCACCAAGCGCCGTGCAAGGCAGGCTGTGTAATGGTCCGGCATTGACGCGGATATCGTCAATACGGTCCGTGCCTGTGAGCTGTGCCAGATCATGCATCCCAGTCAACAGCAGGAGCCCCTCTTGTGCGACGACGAACCCACCAGGCACTTGGAGTCTGTGTCGGCTGATTTCTTCAGCACAGCTGGGAAACATTCCTAGTTGTCGCCGACCGACTCTCTGGTTGGCCTGTGGTGGTAAGCTGTGGCTCGGACACGACGTCCGCGGCCACCATTCGCCACTTCCGGTACCTCTTTCGTGACCTGGGCGTCCCCGTACGTCTGCGGACGGACGGTGGGCCACAGTTCACCAGCCGGGACTTCACAGGATTCCTGGAGCGTTGGGGAGTCCGCCACATCGTGTCAACACCCCACTACCCACAGTCAAACGGCCACGCTGAGGCTGCGGTCAAGACAGTCAAGCACCTCATCCTCAAGGTGGCCCCTTCAGGCAACATAGACTGTAGGGCGTTTGACAAAGGACTCCAGAAGTTACGTAATACTCCCACCCACACAGGACGCTCCCCTGCCCAGATCCTGTATGGTCACCCTCTCCGCTCTTGTGTTCCTGCACACGCCAAGGCCTTTGCGAAGGAGTGGCAGACCAGAGCCAAGAGCTGCGACCGCCGCGCTGCTACAAGAGCCCAGGACGCCAAGGCTCGGTATGACGACCGTGCCCGCCCTCTTCAGCTGCTGGAGATTGGTGCCCTTGTCCGCGTCCAGGACCCGACGACGACACGTTGGGACAAGGTGGGCATAGTGATGGGCGTCGGCCGGTCGCGGGACTACAAGGTCAGGATGCCGAGCGGCCGTGTCTGGTGGAGGAACCGCCGCTTCCTCCGGCCAGCCCCACCCCCTGCTGCTGGCCCCCTGACCGAGAACGAGTCCCCTACATCTCAAGAGGATCTGCCCCACAGTGCACCTCGATGCTCGGAGCGACTTAGGACTAAGAAGTCCGCTCAAGACAAAGACTATGAGCGTGAAGGGGGGAGGGAGATGTAGGTTATGTATCTAAGCTACTGTGCTGAGTAGCATCTATGTATGTAATTACGTGGCAACACTGCACGTGTTATGTGGCAACATTGCCCCGAGGCTGCCATATGGCAATGCAGCCTCAGTCTGATTCCGTGGGTCGTGCAAGGCACACGCTCGTCACTACTTGTATTTCTCCTATCCGTTAATAAATGGACTTCAGTGTTACCCGGTGTTTTCCTACCCATCACTGCCTTCTTTAGGGAACACTTGGAACCTTCATGTACAGTAAGTGTTATTATTTATTTATGTGGTTCAATTTATACTTGTGTAAAGGTCGATATATTAGTTGTTTATTTGTCGATTTTGTGCAGAATTATTTTAAAAGTAAATACTTTAAAAAGATATTACAGTTAATCAATTAAGAACAAGCGTAGGTTAATGGTCATTAACGCTCTTAATCACATCGACTAATTACTTTAGACAATACCTTACTATTTTGGCTTATGCTTTTGTTTAAATTAATGAAATATGGTTTACTTTTGTGAATATTTACAGTACGTTAGTAACGTTCCTCACGTTCCTCATGCTTTAATAACGTTCCTCATACTTAGTGTATGTTTTTGTCTTGTATTTTACAGGAAGTATTTGTTACTCGTAATATTATTGTTAATTTTGGTCCATAGGTTCCCACCATGTTTACCCGATGATATCCCTACTTAGTAGTCTCCTCCTTATAGGTTAGGTAGGTTGGTTGGTTTGGTTCCTTTGGCTAAATGAATGTTTTTTGTTGTGTATTTTTGGTGTTTTACTTAAATTTAATCTCCATTTTTTTGCAAATCTGCAGCTTGTTAAAAGTGAATGTTAATTTTTTGTATAAACCTTTAACTTGCAAATGAATTAAAGGTCAGATTTGAGAAAAACGAAAAACGTAAAAAAAAATTCTCATACCAAAACCTGAGGACAGCCAATGGGTGAATATTTAGTTTTCTTTTCTTTACAGATGATGGATCCAGTAACTGTTGTGTTAAAGGCCAGTTTGGTGCATCAGTGGTCGTCAGCGTGGATAGTACAGCACCTTAATTATTGAGGTAAGTTTGTTCGATTAGTTTTCGTTAACCATCCAACACCTTTTTTCCCATAAAATATATTTTATCGCTAGTTTTCTTGATTTAGAAGATGAATTTTATCTTTGGGGCAAATCACTATCCACCCTTCCACCCCCAACAATGTAGGGGGGATTACTAACAATATTACTGGTTTCAAATGGGCAGGGCTTTAAAGTAGAGGGAAAATGTGGGGTAAAATACTAAAAACACCAAACAACTCTTATAAAACCTGACCTAACGTTTCATAACTTGTAAAAATCCAAAGGTAAAAGTTTATTTTATTCACGTTTTCGGGGTTTAGTAGGTGGTAAGATGAGGGATTTATAAATTGAGTGATACTTAACATTTTCACAAATTATGAAACGTTGTAACAGAAATTTTTATTATATAAATATATACCCAATGTATGTTACCCATGTATTCACCAAGTCATTCATCCATGAGTATGAATCAATTGATGAGTTGACATTTCCTCCATGGAGCTAGCAAGGTCAAGCTGGGTCAACACATTTCAACAACATCCTGTCAGGAGCACTGACAACAACCTGACGCTTGTCCTGTAAGGCACCTTGCCTCACATGATGCGCGTGAGAGAGAGAGCATCCCTGATCTCCATGAGGAATTTAGAGCCTACCTGCAAAACAGACAGCAAAATGAACTATTCTTATCCCCTGTCACAGCAGATGAATTATTGGCTATCATAAAAATGTCCAAAGATGCAGCAGCAGGGGAAGACAATATACCAAGGAGCATCATTAAGAAAGTAGCCCACTTATTACTACCTGTTCTCCTCCACATTTGTAACTCCTCCTTCACTAGTGGTGTCTTTCCTGATAAACTGAAAATTGCTAAAGTCCACCCGGTATATAAAAAATCTGGGGACAAAGGTCTCTTCAAGAATTACTGCCCCAAATCAGTCCTCCCAGCCTTGAGTAAGATACTGGAAAAGCTAGCATGTAATAGACTAAATTCCTTCTGCAAAGCCAATAATATCTTTACAGACTCTCAGTTTGGATTTAGAGCTAGAAGGTCGACTGAGAGTGCTCTGCTATCCTTTAAGCCCCGTCCACACGATCGAACAGTGCCTGGCGGACTTTGCCCGTTTACCGGGCAAAGCCTGTGTGTCGTCGTACACACGGAGGTGCTGGTTGGCAGCAGTCACACTCTGCCGCTGGTAGCTAGTAGGTGGTCGGCAGTAGCTGCTGCGGTACGATCACCATGGTGTGTTGCAGGACAGTTAAATCGAAGACTATAGCGCTGTGTATAATAATTGCTACAGTGTGCAAAAAGAAGAAAAAACAGAAAAGGGAATGGTGCAAGTAATGGTTTTCTCAACGAAAAGTTAAGGGAAGTCATGCCACGATTTTACGTGAACTGCAAGGTGAACATGAGAAAGACTTCACTAACTACATGAGAATGGACCTCAACACCTTCTATAGACTTCTCGCTAAATTGGAACCATACATAAAAAAAGCAAGATACCATTATGAGGCAGAGCGTATCTCCAGAGGCTCGTCTAGAGGCTACGCTCATATTTCTTTCAACTGGGTGCTCCTACACGTCGCTTCAGTATACAACGAGGATATCAAAACAAAGTCTGTCTACCATAATACCTGCAACTTGTCAAGCCATATATGATGTACTCAAGGAGGATTACTTGCAGGTGAGATTTGTAGTATACATAGTTATTCAATTTTGACGGTCACGAGAGGTTCTCATGGTAACACATGTCTTATTATGTGACATAGTAGGCTTAGTAGGGTTTCCGGTTTTCATAGATTATTAATGAAAATAACACTTTTTGTAAAAGGGGATAACCCTCCATACACATGAAACATGATGGACCTGTTTAGGACACAAAGTTGCTTCCAAAACGCTATAGACAACTTATTATACACTGTATTTAACATAGTTACATACTCCCTAGCGTATGTAGTCTTAAATTAAATGTCTGAAGACCCACTCCAAACAATAAAGACATGTAAACCAAACCAACATGCATATTCGTCAATAAAAATAAAATACTAAGAGTATGTTTTAACAACAGTTATCACTGTTTGCCACTAATGACGCATCGATAGTTATAATAAGTACGCGTATCCAACACCCTCATTCAATAAATGACCCTTACATAATAGTCGTTGAGGAGGAAAGCCTACCTAGTTTCCCCGGATAAAGGATCTCATAAATAAGTTTCTGAGCATGTATTTTATTTTCACCGCTCATCTGTCGAAGATCGTTAGCAACAACCTGACCAAAATCACTGTCTGCATCATTTATAATATTTTCGGAGGAAGATAATGACTGCAGGTGGTGGAGGGCCTCTTTCAGGATATTATCAGCATCTTGAGAAACCCTTTTGGTCGGTCGTTTACTTGTTGACGGTGTGGGTGAGGGTTCACGAGTATATTCGATTCTGCAGCCGAACGAGAGACAGTCGGCGCAGCCATACGAGAGACGGTGGGCGTGGCCGAACCAGTCACAGTGGTTGGTGGATTATCATCAGTCCCAGCAGTAGCGGATCGTTGAATATCTATAAATAAAAAAAAATATACACAACCCCTTTGTTAAAAGTGACACACAAAAATATATACATACATATTACGTACAATACAGAGAGAGAGAGACAGAGAGAGAGAGAGAGAGAGAAAACGCTTGCATACGTACCTCGTGATCAGAATGTACCTCAGACATATCTTCTGTAGTGTGAGTATCCATGTTTGACACAGATTGTCGAATTGTCACCATCAATGAGGAAATGCAGTGCATCAAAGCACCATAATGTGGGAATATAAATATCCTCAGTACCAGCTCCAGACTGTTTTGATTTTTGCATCTTTCTTAGTTCCCGTCTATGCTGATTTCGAAGTGATTCAATTTCTCTCTTCACATCACTTGTGGTAACGTAGTCCCGCTTCTATTCATGTACTCTGTAATCTGCCTCAGTGCCGCTGCACGTTTGTCCCTATCCCTGTACATGTCCACTTTAACATTCCATAGACAAGGGTGCTGACGATAGAAAAAACAAACGCGCATGCGTGCGTAGTGTCAACAAAGGCTGTAAGAGACTGCTCCTTAAAATTCGTATTTCTGACGAATTCAGCGCGTCTACCAATCCCAGCCTGTGCAGACAACTATAGTAAGACCCAGATATCAGCACAGTGGCATATATTTTTTTGTTACTTTTGGACTTTGTCATTTTTTGGGGATAAAACATCTGGTCCTACCACCCGATCCCTCTGAGCAAAGTTTTTCAAGTTTGCGCATGCGCAATGTGATAGTGTGACGTCATTACCACTCCACCTGACTGCAGTGTTGCCAACGTGCCCTATGCCCGCCGTTAAACGCTCCCGTTCGTTGGAAACGGCGGCAGTAGGTGACAGTGATGCTGACGACTTTCTTCTTGAAGACACGTCAAAGAAGAAGCAGAAACCTCAGAAGTCAGGGTCTCCAGCAGGGGCCACGGCTCCCCCTTGCACCCCTTCTGGGGCTGTAGAGGGTGGACTCCTGTCATCGGGGTCCCCAAGTGAGCCTACATGTGGCTCAATGACCGACCCTCCGCCGACGATGGACATAGGGGATTCCCTTTGTCTCCCTGCCCCGTCGCGCCTTCGTCGTCTCGCCTTCCCTCGGGACTTGCCTCTGAGCACACGGACGACCTGGTTCTTCCGTCACTGCTCTCCACTTCAGGACTCAACACTTCGCCTCCGCCGAGGTCCCACAGCCGTGATAGTCACCACACAAATGGACGAGACGGTACGCCTGCTCACTCAGGTGGGCTTTCCTGCTCCCCAGGGGGAGGTGATGCTGAAGTTCACCATCATCACCCCAGAAACTCGTCGTACCAAGGTAATGGTTCGCCACGTACCCTGGGAGATCCCTATCGACGATCTTCGCCCTCTTCTCCCACAACTACTGGACATGGAACGCCGCATCAACCCGGTCTCCAAACGTCCATCCAACGAACTCATCGGCTGGTGGGTGGGCCCCCTCCCCCCGAAGGTGAATGTAGGACCAATTCACAACTGTCCTCTCGACCGATTTATCGGAACCCCGAAAATCTGTGGTCGTTGCCAATCGTGGAAACACCGCACCTGGGAGTGCACGAGGATGGTCGCCTGCGGTTTCTGTGCAGGTCCTCACGACACAGTGGAATGCAAATCGAAAATTCAGAACAAAATCCCAGTTATTCCACGGTGCGTCAATTGCCATGGCAGTCACCACGCCTGGAATGCCAATTGCCCACAGCGTCCTGGCACTCGCCCGGGGAAAACTTACCTTGTACCACCGCCCTCGTCTCTGACGAAGCCCCTGTCAACCAAACCTCAATCCTATCCACCACCGCCTCTTCCATCCACCAAGGATTTCCCATTGATCTCCTCTCCTCTACCACCCCCTCCATCACCCCTACCACCCATCCTTTCTCCCCTCCCTCCCTCTCCCTACCGTTCTTGGAACAAGGTCGTTGCCGGCCCTGCCACACAGTCACCACCATCTCCTGCCCACCCGGACCCCCGCTGTCTCTCACCAGCACCACCACCTCTTACTCAACTGAACCCTCACCGTCCCTCTCCGTCGCTACCACCACCACATGCCCAGTCGGGCCCTCGGCAATCCTCGCCGCCACCTCCAGCTTATGCACAGGTACACCAAGTTGGTTCTATGGAAACAATCACTCTCCGTCTGGATCGCCACTCCAAGCAAATCAACCTTCTCTCAGCCCAACTCGACTTGTTTGTAAAAACAATTGCGACATTGCAGAAGCAACAACAACTCATTCTGGACACCCTGACCCAACAGGGGCGCACTTTGCAAGCCCTGATGACCCGCCTCCTTCCATCTCCCGAGATGGAGGATCCATCCCTCGCTCTCCCACTCCTCCCTCTCCATTTCTCTCAACAGAATTTGGTACCTCCTCTGGAGCCCTATCTAGCCCCTCCGACTCATCTCACACCGGAGGCCGTTCCCTCCTCTTCTTACAATGGAACATCCAGGGACTTAGACCTCGCCGGACAGACCTCGCCCAGTTTGTGCTCTCCCATCAAGTAGATGTTGCTCTACTTCAGGAAACCATCACAGACGATGTTACTCCACTCCGCCTCTCTGGCTATTCTGTTTACACCCTGCCTCGGTACCGTGGGCAGGCTCGTGGCCTCCTCACCCTTGTGCGTAACACCATTCCATCTGTTCGTCTCCCTTCACCTGACTCACATGGACCCCCGTCTGAATTACTTTCTGTCTCCCTTACTCTTGGTGACCGGACCCTTCGTGTAGTCAATGTTCATTTCAAGAGTGATTCTCTGGACCCCCAGGTTCTTCACGACCTCCATGATGGGGTTCCCACTATTGTTCTTGGCGACTTTAATGCCCGCCATCCCACTCTTACTCCGGATCATCCCACTCCATGTACCCTTAATGGATCACATCTCTCACAGTTTCTTAATGGGGAGGATGATGTTCGCTTTCTTTGTCCTGACGATCCTACTCGCCTCCCCCATAGTTTCCTTGATGTTGGCTTACTATTGAACGGTCATACTTCCTTTCATCCTACCGTCTGCACCGAGCCTGCTCTGTATAGTGACCATCTTGCCGTTACTACCCATCTCAGGCTCTCCTTCTCTGCCCCGACATCAACTCCTTATCGATCCCCTCGCCTTCGTCTCACACAAGATGCTGTTCCTTCCTTTACCCAATACCTTTCTACCTGGGCGGATTCCTATGTTGTCCCTCAGTCCCTTGACTCTTACAGCGCTGATTTTGTTGATGCCGTGTATGACTCTGTCAATCGCGCTACCCCTCCACGCCCTCCCCGTCACCCCAGAAGTGCCACCAACTACTGGTATCGTATCCCTGCCATGAGACATCTCCGGCAGGTAACCCGTGATCTCCACTCTGCCATACGGAGGTCTCGGTCTCCAGAGGACTGGGAAGACTTCAAAAATTGGTGCTCCTTTGCAACTCAGGAGCGCCGTCGGATACGTGAGGCGGACTGGCTATCCTTCACGGGATCTCTATCGTTCCAGTCGTCACCCTCTTATGTATGGAATCGGATTAATGCTATACGGGGTACTCGACGGAGGCCTCCTCCCCACCCTGACCCCGCCTCCCTTGCCTGCTCTTTAATGGAGGACTGGGCACAAGCTTCCTCCCCTGAGGCACTTCCAGATCCAATGCAGGAGGCAGTGCAGGCCCGCATCGATGCGTCTGAGCCTGTTGTTCGTGCTGCTCTTACCTCCCCTGCCCCCACTGATCATCCCATCACACAGTTCGAGCTTGACAGTGCTCGTCGCTCTAGAAAAGACACCTCTCCTGGGGATGATCAGATAACCTACTCCGTCCTCAACGCCTGTACTAATATTCCTAACGGCCCCTTGCTTGCTCTCTACAATATGTCTTATGAACATGGGGTTCTCCCGTCCAACTGGAAAAATGCCACTATTATCCCCATCCCTAAGCCGGGAGATCCTGGGAAATATCGACCCATTAGTCTTACCTCCTGTGTTTGCAAGATGATGGAGAGGGTACTCCATCGTCGCCTTCTTCACACCATAGGCGGCTTCCACAACTCCCTCAATGGTTTCATTCAACATCGCAGCACAGCACACTCCATTGCTTCCTTTTATTGCAATCAGACTGCCCGCGTCTCCGTCTTCCTTGATATCAAGGGAGCCTTTGATACGGCTCAGCCTGCCCTCATTTTAGCTGAACTTGCACGGTTAGGGGTTAAAGGGAGACTTCTACAATGGATCGCCTCTTACCTCACTGGACGTCAGGCCCGGGTTCGCGTTGAAGGCTCTATGTCTCCTGTTCAAGAAATGAACCTCGGCACCCCTCAAGGTGGAGTCCTGAGTCCCACCTTGTTTAACACTCTCATGCACTCCATTGCATCACTCCCGTGGCCGACAGAAGTTGTCCACTCAGGATATGCCGACGATGTCCTCCTCCAAGCCCCTGACTACCTCAGCATGCAGGAAGCCCTTGATCTGGTCTCCAGAGAGTGTGATTCACTTGGTTTCCTTCTTTCAACTGCGAAAACAAAAGCCATGTGGCACGGTCGTGTTGTACCTCCACCCCTTTTCTTATCAGGAACGCCCTTGGACTGGGTTAATGAGACAAAATACCTGGGTGTGTATGTAACTCGCACACGTTGTCAGATCCCTGAAGTCCGCTATCTTCGAGACATATGTTTTCGGCGTCTCGCTCCCCTCTCTACCATGTGCAGGGGTTCCCTTGGTGCCAGCATCCCTGTACTTCTCACCATGTACAAGTCTTTTGTCCGTTCCTGTGTCGACTACGCCGCCCCTGCCCTCGTCAACATTAGTCGGACTGCTGTCAACCGTCTCGAAGTTATCCAGAGGAAAGCTGCTCGTATCATCCTTGGGGCTCCTCAGTGGACACGCTCTACTTCTCTATATAACGAACTTGGTCTTTCCCCCTTACAGGATCGTGTCCAGGAGTTTTACCTAAAAACTGCCGTCTCCATTCTACGGGATCCTAGGGGCAACTATGTCCAAACCAACTTGACTACTGCTGTCCGAGGCCGACCTCCATCTAGAAGACAGTGGCGAGGGTCACTCATCCGAGCCCTTCAGGAACACGACCTCCTGCCTGATATTGTTGTCACCCCTGCTGTTGGTTCGTCTCCTTCTCCCTGGCTGGATTTTCAACCTGAAGTGATTGCCCTCGGTGGACCGCTCCCGAAATCCCAGGTGAACCCTGTTATTCTCTGCAAATACCACCTCTCCAGGATCGCTCACTGGTCCCCAGGTAGGGTCGTCCTCTACACTGATGGTTCTGTTGACCCCGCTACAGGTAGGGCCGGGGCTGGTGTCTACATCTCCCGTCCTCATGCCCCTGAGCCTATCAAACTGTCTCTCAGAGTTTCTGACGGGGCATCCTCCACTCAGGCTGAACTAATAGCCCTCCTTGCTGCCCTTCTCGCTGAGGAAGAAGCAGATGGTTTCTGCCCCTTGCTTGTCTGCTGCGATTCCAGGTCTGCTCTCGACGGGATCGCATTTGGATCTGGGGAAAATAAGGACCTCATCCTCCGAATACGAGGGTTAACATCCACACTTCAGGATGAAGGCCGTCCTGTGACATTCCTATGGATACCTAGTCATGTCGGTATCTTGGGGAATGAGGCAGCAGATGACCTTGCCAAGACTGGCTGCAACAAGGCCACACCTGACTACGTTGTTCCTCGAACACTCTTACAGATTAGGACCCAAATCCGCCGCAAACAGAGAGAAGCTCGGGAAGCAGCCATCCCCCTGGACTCCCCGCCCACATGGTACGATGTCCTCCGTAAACTTCCTGACTTCTCGTACGTCTACGGGAAAGGGTCGCGGAAGGGGGACGTGATTGCTGCCCGTATCATCATTGGGTATGACTTTGCTTGGGAGATTGGTATCCCCACATCCCCTGAGCAACGCTCTTGTGCGTTATGCAGAAGACCCGACAGCCGCACCCTTATTCACTACCTCCTAAGATGTCCCCACACACAACGCTTCCGTGACGCCTGCTGGACCACCACTCCACGACCCCCTGACGGAGACACGATGATCCTCCCAATACTGGCCAGATATTTTGTAAATAATATTAATTATGTGTTAAAGGAACATCCTTCCTTCCTTAGGCTTTAGTAAGCCCCTTTATAATATTTATACTGTATATACTTTTCACACTTGCCAGATGATTCTGGTGTCATTGTACAGGGGTACCTAGTGACAGCACTAGGATCCCGCTTCCTCTATCAAGGAATAAACAATTGAAATTGAATTGAAATTGCTGACGATAGCGTTCAATCAACACCATGGTCTCTTCTCTAGACCAATGAATGTTTCCTTGGTCTGTGGCTGACGGAGGAACAGACATTTTTCAGTGGTGGCTTGTGGCGAGACTGAAAAACTGGCATCCAGGGTTCCAAGGTTAACTTCGTTTGTCTGGCAGGGTCGTCCATCCATACCCGGCAGCAAACGGTCAAACCACCAGGCAGACGGCCTTTTCTGGTGATTTCGCTCGACCACTGGCACGGGCACTCCGTTGGTTTGCCCGTCAGTTTTGCCCGAACAACGGGCATTAAGCGAGTGCCCGTCGGGCAGTGCTCGATCGTGTGGACGGGGCTTTAGGCAGAACAACATTAACGTTCAGCCACGAGATCAAACAATCACGCATAATTGTAAAACACATCACGCAATGCAAACTTCACATCCATTGCTTACTTCGGGTGTTTGTGTAATAACTGCCTCGACAGGCGGGGGGGTGTCATTGACACAGCAGCGATAAGTTACGGAGTCACTCTCTGAAACTCTACCTAGTGGCTCAAAGGACATTTCGATGAAAGCGGCCAGAACTGGACTCTAACTCCTGCTGTGTTAACTGGTGTACAACGGTTACATAGAAAGGAACTAATTAGAGTCACAGTACGTTTGCCAAATGTGAGTGAAGGAACAGATGTTGTGTGTCTGAGTGAAAGTTCACTAGTGAAAGATTTGTCACTTGAGTCTACCTTAAGCACCGTTAGAATAGGTAGTCTCACAGATGTCCTCGTTCTCAATAGATCTGGGGGACCCATAACCCTACGAAAGGGATGTTGTTGAGGTAATTTCCTTGTTTATGACAAAGCGGTTGTCGAAGAGCCATTAGAATTACCAAAAGGTAGTGTAACACAGGGTAAATCGAACGAAAAATCACATATTGTGAATAATGTAGCGTTAATAGCGCCACACGTGAAAGTAGTCGATCATCCTCGAGGCAAAAGTAATCCTTTAGAATTACTAGCTGAGTTCAAGGAAATAATAGCATTACCAGGAGAACCCCTAGGTAAAACAAAGTTGACAAATCATCATATACCACTCAAACCGGAAACTAACCCAATCTACATCCCAGCATATAGGCTACCCCACAGCAGAAGAGCGGTAGTCCAGTAAATAGTACAAGACAAGGTGGACGAAAGGTGATCCAACCTTCCTCATCACCATGGAACTCACCTTTATTTTTAGTTCCCAAGAAATATGGAGGATGGAGACCAGTCACAGATTTTCGTTGAGTCAACCAGGTAACTGTACCAGACAGGTTCCCAATGCCTGTCCTAACCGACTTACTACAGTCACTAGGAAAAGACAACGCAGTCTTCAGCAGCTTAGATTTACTTAGTGGGTACTGGCAAATTCCCTTACATGAGGATTCCCGTGAAATAACCGCGTTCAGCACACCAATGGGACATTTCGAGTTCTTAAGAATGCAATTTAGTCTAAGAAATGCGCCGCTAACATTCCAAAGAATGATAAACACATTGTTTGCTGGAATGATAGGTAACACAGTCTATGCCTATCTAGATGATCTAATCATAGTAAGCAAAGATTTACAAAGTCATCTAAAGAAGCTACGAGAAGTTTTCACAAAGCTACATCTAGCTGGATTGAAAGTGAAACTTTCCAAATGTGAATTTCTCAAAACGAGAATCCAATTTCTTGGTCACGTAGTGGATGGTAATGGTATACCCACAATAGATTGCAAGGGATAGACGGTGAAACAATTCCCTTGTCCCAAGAACGTAGATCAACTTCGTAGTTTCCTAGGTTTATCAGGATACTACCGTTCTTTCATTGAAGGTTATGCCAAAACTGCTCAAAAAGGTTGTGAAATTTACATGGAATAAGGAACAAGAGGACAGTTTTAATGACCTCAAGAGCGCCTTAACAAAAGCACCAGTGTTAGCCTTTCCGGACTACAGAAAACCATTTACCATGTGTACTGATGCCTCTGGCCTAGGTTTAGGGGCGGTGCTCATGCAAACTGATTAATTATCGGGGAAAATGGCGGGTAGTAGCATACGCCAGTCGCACCCTCAACGATGCAAAAACACGTTATTCAGCAACTCACTTAGAAGCATTAGCTGTAGTGTGGGCTCTCAAGCATTTTCGGGATCTCGTTTTGGGATATCCGATCACAGTCCACACAGATCATGTAGCCGTGACAGAGCTATTTAATGGGAAGAATTTATCAGGGCGTTTAACGCGCTGGTATCTAACCATACAGGAGTTCGCACCCAACTTCAAGTATTTGCCAGGCTGTGTGAACGTGGTAGCTAATTCGCTAGCTAGACACATAGCTCCTGTCACGCCACTACCTACGTTCACCCTGTCACAATTAAGGACAGAACAGTTAAAGGATCCATTATGGTCCAAGGTTATATATGCCTTAGAATCGGGAGATGAGACACTTCTCACATCGCTCCTGAACCAAGAAGACCTCTCAACAAGACCTCCTGCTGGACCCGGAACTGTGAAGACCGCCCTCTCCCTTGTGCCATTGTTGGCCATCTTCCCGGACCGGACCACCCACGACCGTCATCGTCCACAACAACTCACGAGCGTTCTCGGTTTATCGAGCATTAGCTTGCCCTCCCCACTGGTGGTGTGAGTGACCCACACTCCAGCTGGAGAGCAGTTATAGCGCGATATTCCCGGCGTGGTTTGAGCTCTTTTCCTTCTACTACTATTTTTCCTTTTTCGCTCTGGCCTAGGGACCTGCACCCTCAAAAGTGTATTCGTCCTGCGGTCCCCCCTGTAACTGTTCACCTCCCTCCCAGGAGATTGTGAACACGAAAGGGGGTTGGAGCAAAACCCATCCCAGCCGAGTCTTTCCAGGAAAACCGTGATCGTGCGGGTCCACCTGGAAAGAGGGTAGCAATCCTTATCCTTCCCAAATAGGCACACTTAGCTCACGTCTATAAGTGAGCAGTCACATACACTAGGAAGTAGGCTTCCCCAACGGGGCTCCGGGAGAGAAGCTCAGGAACCACTCTACGACCACCAGCCAGTGGGGAGTGCTGAAATTCCTCTGCTATTTACTCAACCGGAATAGGTAGGATCTAAAAAAATAAAAAAAAAAAAAACGGTTATGGAGCGCGTACGCCCTCCTAACCGCGACCCCCGCCTGAACCGCCAACCTGACGACCCGAACTACGACAGGCTTCGCACAGAGAAAGCGGACCAGTTACGCGCCTTCAATGAAGCCCTGAAAAGTAAGAACACTGCCACCACCTCCAACAACTCCAACACCACTGCTACCGCCACTGAGGACAACTGGACGAAGGTAGAAAACAAGAAACGCCGACGTGCCTTTTCGGGAAACGAATGCCGTCAAGCAGCCCAAAAGGCACCCATCACCACCACCAGCTCACCTCCAACGACACTGCCAAAATTCCGAATCACGAAAACGGACGCAAAAACAACATATGCCGCCGTCACAGAGATGGAAAAGCAACACAGAGATGGGAAAAGGAATCCACTGCCGTTTTCGGTGCGGCCCAACCTAAAGTAGATGATCACCACCCCAAAGACAAGAACTCCGCCACCACCCCGACACACTTACTCCAAAACAATTACCACCACATTACTTCAAACCAAGCAGACCCCGCCCAGAAATCAAGAGTTAGTTTAGGTCCTCCAGCCCAAAGGAACTACCGGGAACTTCAAGAACCACCCGAACATCCTAAAGCCGAGATGTTTCCCCTGTCCGACAAGACGGCCACCACGAAACAAGTGCTCATAACGCACTGCTTGGCACCACCCCCAGCACCATAGACCTCAAACCTGGGGGATTCAATACGAAGTGAGGCCCTTTCGTCCAGAGCCCTGCGCAGGTCTCAGATGCCAGAAACACGGGCACCATCAGACAAGGTGCACGCATAGGGAAATCTGCGCAGTCTGCGCACAGAAGCACGGGCACACACCCTGCCTCACCAAGCTGAAAATGGGGAAAAAATTGCCCCAAGTGTGCCAACTGCGGGGCAAACACCACGCCTGGAACCTGAGGCTCCGGAGAGAACAAAGAGGTCCAGGCAACCGACCAGCAGCAAGACCGGCCTCACCGCCTACACACCAGCCCCCACCAAGTACCTTCGTGTGGGGGAACCCAAAGGCCCAAACAACAAAGACAACCTCTCAGCCGTCAACACCAAAGTGCAGCCCAGTTTCTGGCCTCACTACAGCCACAACTCAGCCACCCAAGCAGCAGAGAACGACAAACCACGAGAAAGACAAAGAAGACAAATACCAAGGCACCAGAAGGAATGATACACTTATCAGACCCAGCTGGCAGTACTGACGACTGCGGAGGGCCTAGCTGGACTACTGGGCCACAAGGACCCAACCCACACAGCCCAAATACTATAGCGTCTCCGGCAAGTCGCCACAGCTCCAGCCACTCTCAGTGTGGAGGAAGCCACGGTCCGCACGAGCACAACGAGGTACACTTCACACCGAAGAAGGCCACCAGAGAACCCAAGACACCGACACAGCTCCCAAGATACCGACAGCTCCTGAAAGAAACTGGACGTGCTTAACCCCCTGAACTGAACCACGGCCCAGTAGAAGGCAAAAACCACAGAACACGAAGACACATGGACCTGATCTGGAATCGAACTTGAGCATTCCTCCATCGAGGACCACCAGAAGTCCCCTGATGAAACAGTGGTGGAAACGTCAAAGCATCCTGAACATCTCAACATGGAATGCCTAGGGCATCAAAAACAAGAAACACTCCTACAAGAAGCAGCAGCCAGACAGCTTGACATCATACCCTACAAGAAACACTTATAAGAACACCACTGTTTCAAATTCAGCGGTTACAAGACATACAGGAGGCATTTCAATGCAGTCAACAAGAGGATGCATGATCTTCAATGTCACATACTTCCCATGATGTCACGCAAGTACCCCATGTGGGGAAAACATCGAGACACAGGCCGTCAAAGTAACCTCCAAGAACGGGAATTAACTGTTCACAACACATCTACAAGAACCTAAGGGCTCACTGGAGGTTACTCAATTATTTGCTTCGGCCATGACCACGCCACACTCATAGGG